CAGCCCTAAACTATGAGCACTAGTTTTGAACTGGCCTTTTCTCTTTACTGAGCACAGAAATTCGCCCTTGAGCTCTTCTCCCGTACCCTATGCCTCCACACCGGCCCAAGCCTCCCCAGGCCCAGACCCCCAGAGTGAGGCTGCTGCCGCTGCAGCAGCCACGCTACTCAGGCAGCCCCCAAGGAGAAAGCGCGGGTCACCCCAGCGGCTTCCCGGCTGCACCTCCCCTTCTCCAGGCAGCCAGCAAATTAACCCAAGTGCCTGCTCCCCGAGCGAGCGAGGCCACCACTACCCAGCAGCGCTCCAATGCCCAGACTGAGCCACGCGGAAGTCCCCCCTCTGACCCAAAGCCACCAGGAGGCCCCGCACCACCACGCCGGCCACACTTTGCCGGCTCCATCCTGGGGCACCATGTCGCCCACAGATACCAAACTCAGACCTGGGAAAGGTTCTGCAGGTGAGGCAACGGCTCACGCCGCTCACCTCGTCCTGGGACAGGCTTCAATTCCTCTCCCCACGAGGGTCCTTCTAGGGCCTTCCCAGGAGGTCAGAACGTCTTCTGAAACCTCCTGCCCATGGCCTTCATGGTGCGTCCACCAGGCGTATTTGGACATCAATTCCACAAGGGGTTTTACATCCCTCCAGAGCGCACACACAAAAACACAGACACACACACACCTACCGCGGTCAGTCAGACTCTCCGGATCGGGGTCCCACATGGTCCTGGCTAGGGATCCTGGACGAATTCCTCCATATGTTACACCCAGACTTCGTGATCCCCAAGGACCACCAGGGAGCCGAGTCTGATGCAATAAACAAAAGAGCCTTTTCCTTGCTAGCATGGGCTCCGTACCACTCACACATGGTGGAAGAGAGACAAAAGATGTAATTTCTAATCTTTGTGTATTCCTAAGGAAGACTTGGCCAATCCAAGGTTAAAGATCTAGATCATACAAGGTTAGAGGACTCAGTAGTACTTCGTTTATTTTTTAGATCTCTCTATTTCAACTAGGGGAGAAATCAGCATCCTACTTTATATTTTGTCAAATTCAGGAAAAACTAAGAATAACAACCTGTAAGCAAACCTTTCATTTGCTCAATCAACAAACCTCAGTCAAACAGAACTATGGTAGGACGAAAAGACGAGTGAGACAAGTCTCTAAAGGCTCAGAGCACGTTTTCCCCAGGTTGAAATTCCCTTCTTGTATAGGCTTTCAAATGTTGTTTTAAAAAGGAGCTTTAACTTGCTTTTATTTTTTTATATTTTAATTTTATAATTTATTTTTTTATCATCAGAGACAGCTTCCCCCCTCCAAACAAACTGTACACAAAATTCCCATGTAAATCAAAGAGATTCATGTGCAGCCAATTGTTCTAGTGGGTGGTTGAGTGAGGAAACAGGCCTGATGCCTGTCCACTTACTTGGCTTCCCTTTTGTTCAACATCCTCCCTTTGACCCTCTGCCACAACGCTCCCAGGGGTATAAAAAATAAAGTTTTAAACAATTTATCTATTTAATATTCTTGCCATGTTTTATTCATTATATATAAAAAACTTTACAGCAGCTTTGGATATTTATTTTTCAGTTCTCCTATGACTCATTTTGTGTTCAATTATTTATCTTCATTCTTCATAGGGTTGTTTTTTAAATTTAACTTTTCCTTTATGTTCTTCCATTGTATGTGTTTTAAACTATATATATATAGTTTATATATATAGTTTATATATATATATTAGTGTGTTTCATTTTATGGAAAGTTCAGAGGATCTTAGTGATATCCAATAACTTGCTATTTTACTGAAGAAGAAAAGCATGTATTATATTTTGAAATATTTAAACAAGGCAAGATAAAACAAACCATCTAGATAAAAAGTGTGCTTTTTCCTTACAACCTTGGACTTTTCCAGTTAGAATTCTGGTTCTTGGGTTATGGGTTTTTGTGGTTCTGTCAGGGGGCCAATTCATAATCCCTCTTAACTAGAAGTTATGATTGATTTCACAAGTGATCTGGTTACCACACATTTCTCATTACAATGGTCCAGCAAAGACAGTAAGAGATACTATTTTTATCATCATAAGGAAAGAAGGCTGCTGTTTCACAGCCTGAGGGGAAAAAATGTCTGGAAAGTTCAGATATGAGTGGGCAATTGCAGCAACCAGGATTCTATATGAGCAAGACAACTAAGGGCCTAACCCCATACCTCACAAGGCAGCAACTCAGACCAGCTGAAGTGCCAGTAAATATGAAAAAAATCTGGAATGAATGGTAGAGAAGATTGATGATTAATATTATCAATTAGGCCCCAAGAATCAGCTAGAGTATTAGATATTGTAGCTTGGTTATTGCCTCTCCTTAAATTTTGGGAATAGCAACTCGTATGACTTTGAAGAATTGTACTTGAACTTCTCTTTATTGGGAGATATAAGGAATGTTGTGTTATGTGCTCCCTGGATACCAGAAAATGATGCAAGTGCATTGGAGTTGTGCAAGGTGGTGCCCAGTTTATGAGCTTTCCTATACTGGCTCAACTCTCGTGTGCCTTCATTTTTTATCACTTATTCAATGGAGATCCCCATATATTGTTTCCATTGTCACTTAATTTCCTAACTCCACCAGCTGTATTAGTCTTCCTGAAGATTATAACCAGGCATTAGCATGCCTCCTAATGGCATCTACAAGGAAAGATCCAGAGTGGCTCTGGCACCTGTGTCATATCAGATCAGAACCAGGAAAGTTCTGTCTCCACCGGAATATTGCTTCCCCAGTGGCTACCCAAAGAGATAGATTACACAACCGAGTGCAAAGGAGTTAATATCCCACAGGCTGAATCTTTACCTGTGAAATATTGAAGTTTTCTATTTTGGTACACCTAATTATCTTCTATTTTTATTTATATTAATGTATTAATCTAATAATTTATTTAAAAAATTTTAAACTTACAGTTACTTTCTTTCTCTGCCTCACTTTATTTTACAACTTGTTCATTACTCCACTCTGTTTATGACACCTTTATTCTGTAGTTCCCTTATATTTGACTGTTTCTAATGCAAAGGTACTTTATGTTGGTTATATGTCTCTTTCAGAATGTGTACTTTTCCAATGCCATTTCTTAGAACAAAAAGCTGTGAATGCCAGATTTCTCTATGTATTTCTGTGTATAAATTTTGACATAGTGGAAGAGTATAGTAAAATTTAAATGAAACCTTATGGACTAATCCCAGCATAGTTTAAGCCATTCCCCACAGATCACTAAACTTTTCTGACTACACTTTTCCAGGCTTCTCTTAGGCAAGGAGGTGTATACCATCTCCAGATTCCACACCATAGTAAGGATCTTTGCTATCCCTAATCACCTCCTTTTAATTATTGCTTCTGATAATGATTCAGAGGCAACATAAATTTTAAACCTTCTAGTATTAAACATCTATTATTAAGCAGAAATATGTAACTGATATTTCTATCATAAATGTATATTGGAAGTACAGCCTAAAGCTTACAAATTAAATTGATATATTAGCTATCATCCTTTGATTTGACCCAATTGTCCAGGTTTTTCTAAACTTGGATATCTCCAGTTTGGGGGATTATTTGTTTGCGTTGGTGGTGGTTGTTGCTTGTCTTGAATTTAAATACTCTGGGACTTGCTTATACGCAGAGAACTTGTCTCCCCTATTCTTCAGCCTTCCCTCCGACCTCATCTTTGGCCAGGAACTTTCTTTACTCTCACTGTCTATTGATTACTTACTCCTTCTCCCACAAATATTGTGTGATGACAGCTAAATTGTGGATCGGTTGAGAATGAGATGATTGTTCAAAAAATTATAAAGACCTCAAATGAAAGATATAGCAAAACTACACTGCATCCCCACTGAAACAGAACAAAGACAGCAACAAACATTTGGAACCAAGTCACATCTTTCCACACCATCCATTACTCTTGCATTTAACAGGATGTTAAAGATTCTTCTTCTGAATTTATTAGCTTGGTATTTAGCATGTTTCACAGTCAAAATAGCAAAGAAGGTTCATTATTGCTGGTTAAATTAGCCTCATGAAAATGTTGTTGGTAAAAGGTTACAGAAATGAATAAGAAATTTAACCAAGCAGCATATTAAAACCATATATCATTATAATTTGAAAAGGCATTCTGATTATTTAAATTAACTTGGATAAAGGGTAGAGAATTAGATAAAAGTTAATAATTAAAACCTAAAGGCATGATTAGCTTTTCCTTTTGATAAAGAAGGGGCAAAACTTATGCAACATTTACTTAAATTGGCCTCATAGGAGAAACTGAGACCAATAAAATCATACCTGATCATTCTATTTATTGGCTTTAAAAATTATATACATATTATATATAAATTAGATTACCTGAATATCTTATGCTTCCTTCAGGCATAGTCTGATTGTCCTTCTCATTTGATTTCATTTTGGATGGTCAAAGCCTAGAACTTAGCATTTTTCTGTTGAGGTTTTTTCAACTGAATGGTCTCTATGTATATTAGCTAGTCTTTGCCATCTTTGGGAAACATTTTTTAAATATCTATTTTTATTGATTTCAGAGAGGAAGAGAGAGGGAGACAGAAACATCAATGATAAAAGAGAATCAATCATTGATCGGCTGCCTCTTGTACTCCCCCTCACCCCCGCCCCCAGCATTGGGGATTGAGCCCACAACGGGATCATTTGTCCTAGCAGGGAACTGAACCATGATTTTCTCGTTCATAGGTCGACACTCAACTGGCCAGGCTTTGTGAAATTTTTATCAGTGAATTTAACCTGTACTTTTTTCTCTTTGATATGTTTAATGTTTGTGTGACCTAAATTATTCATGTCTTTCTTTGTGTTAAAATGATTATTTCCCCCCTAAAAAGCAAATAGAGCTTTCCCAAAAGGAATGGCAAATCAATTTTTTATTGGTTTGACAACCCTAATTAAGCAGTTTATGTATATGGACTTACATAAAAATGTTGTCCTCTTTCCCATTCTTAACAGGAACCAGGAGCTAAAAGAACTTGGTGAACTCTCTCCCCATTGGGACAATCTACGGAAAAATGTCCTTACTCACTGTGATCAAATGGTCAATATGTACCAAGATATTCTGACAGAACTCAGCAAGGAAACAGGTATGAAAGCAGTAACTAACTACCTATTAAACCTGTGCTGCATTTCATATATGTTATATGAAAACAATAATAAACATTATTAAGAATATAGAAGAGCCAATATTTTTTTAAAGCATCTTATAATTCCAAATTGGCATTTTTCTTAACAAAGAAAAAATGCACTATTTCATCTCATGGTATTATTCTAAAGGTAATTGAGAGTTTAAAAAAATTTAAATATCTGAGAAGAAAAGCAAATTATACGGTTATATTTTCTTTCTAAAATTTTTGTAACAGTTCTTAATGTCAAATTTATTTTTCAGCAAATGTACACACACATGTCCTCATTATTTACTTACTAGTAATAATTACGTTTCTTTCCACGTAGGGTCCTCTTTTAAATCAAGCAGCAGCAAAGGAGAGAAAACATTAGAATTTGTTCCAATAAATCTACACCTGCAGAGGATGCACGTACACAGCCCTCACCTGAAAGGTAGTGTATAGTATAGTATTCTTTTCAAAATAGGCAACTTGTGTTAGGGTGTTTCTTGAAAAATGTCCACTATTGGCAGACTTTACAATTTAAGCATTTATATGAAGTAGAGATGAAACAGTTGAAGCTGATAATAACCCTGAATACTATAAAAGGCGAGAAAATAAGTTGGGAGCCAAAAACCAGAATTACAGGCTTTATTAGGGGAAAGAGACCTGCGGGGTTGTCTCACTTGGGAAGAACAGTAACACATGCAGAGGTGAGCACACCTTTTAAGGGGAGGAATGGGAAGGAATGGGGGCTGAGTGTACTCGGCACGTGCTGATTTGTGGCTTAATATATGGTCATATAGGAACAAGAGGTTAGGGTATCTGGCAGGTGTTGATTGGTGGTTCAATGCATAATCCATATAATGTGCCTGGTTAGGTACTCAGATATTTCCAGGCCGCAGGTTAGGTCATACTCTGCCCACCAGTTGGGGGAAGGGAGGATCTATCAAAAGGAACTATTATTTTTGTTGTTCCTATACTTCTGAGTACTACTTTGTCAATGTAGCACCTAAATGGAGTTGCAGGTGAATATGCAAAATGAATATTAGCTTCCTTAAGTAGTGTCAATGACTCCTAATAGCTACCAATCATGCTACTGTTTGGATTGGAAAAAAAGAAAAAGGCAAGACAAGCCTTGTTCATCGTTTACTGACCTTGAGAAACCAAAGCCACAAGTTGGACTCAAGCTGTTTGTCTTGGTGGTGACCATCCTTTTAACCAAGAATTTGGCAAATGAAAGAACTGAAATAAAAATTATATTGATTGGCCCAAGGCAGTTAGGAATTTTTGATTACTGAGTGTCAGCAATTTGAATGTAACATATAATGGTTTTAAAATCATCAAAACCAGAGTATCAACAAGTAATAAAGAAACTAGAGTACTTAAATGCTATCTGACAATCAACGTGATTTTTTTTTCTTTTTTTCTTTTAAAAAAATATATTTTATTGATTTTTTACAGAGAGGAAGGGAGAGAGATAGAGAGCTAGAAATGTCGATGAGAGAGAAACATCGACCAGCTGCCTCTTGTACACCCCCTACCGGGGATGTACCCACAAGCAACATACATGCCCCTGACCGGAATTGAACCGGGGACCTTTCAGTCCGCAGACCTACGCTCTACCAATGAGCCAAACCGGTTTTGGCGTGATTTTTTTTTCTCTAATGGCTGATATGAATAGGCCTTTATGATACAGTAAAATAGGCCTTTATGATACAGTAAAAAGTTTATATGTTTTGGAGTGGAATGGAATAGAATTGCAGCTTCACCAGTTTTTATTAAATTAGTTACTTATTCTTTCTAACCTGTGTTGTTCTCTTCCAAATGAAGTGAATTAGAGTATGTAAAATACCTAGAATGAACGATAAAAGTTTCCATGATATATGTGGCCTTTGTCATCACTGGAACAAAATGGGTTTATCAGCTCTATCATGTCTGTTAAAGTGATCAGTAAAGAGACAATAATATCTAAGGAGGTAGCCAGATGCAGAGGGAAGATGATTTAGAGAAGCAGAGGCATTTTGGAAACGTCATCACAGGCAAGTATTTGATGATGGATAGGATGATGAAATGGGAGAGAAGGATGACCTGGGATGTAACCATGGGTGGATGATAGAAGTATCACCAAACCAGGTAGTTTGTCGTGGCCAAATCGATAGGAGCTTGTATTTAAATATACATTAAAATATTTGGTGATGATCCTTAAAATACTTCCACCAAACAAAGAGAAATTATTATCTAAGTGGCTTTGTACATCATCTTTATTTATTGAAAATGACAGAACCATATACATTATGCTGTCTTTTGCCAAGATACTATTTGAAAAATAGACTAGAGTGGGCTAGGTGAATGCAATGCCTTAAGTTTCTGCTTCTCCAATTTAAATGAAGAAACTAGAAATTAAATGAAAGAAATTTAGAAAAGCAAATAAAATGTCTTCTACTTAGTTTGGTTTGGGAAATGTACCAGTGTCCTAGATCTGCCATAGCAAAGCATCATAAACTGGTTGGATTAAACAACAGAATTTTATTGTCTCACTATCTTGAAGCCAGGAGTCTAAAATCGCAGAGCCAAGCTCCCTCTGGAACTGGGGCTCTCGAGCGACATGTGGCGATTTGGCCCTTTGAGTGTGACTCTTCCAGAAAATACCATGACCTGGGAAAGTCTATTTTGAAGAAGTGACATTAGAAGGAGTTTAACTTTAAAAAATTTGTCTCTCAAAAGAAATTTCAATCATTGTACTGTTGATATTTGGCTCTGTTGACTAATGAGTTTGCTGATCACTACTGTAGGGGAATCCTTTCTTGCCTCATCCTAAGTCCTTTTTTCCCCCTGGCAATCTTTGGTTTCCTTTGGTTTGCCAAAGTATCACACTGATCCTCCATCTTCACATGGTGTTCTCCTCTATGTTCTTCTCTGTGTCCAAATTTCCTCTTTAAGAACACCAGTTATATTAGATGAGGGCTCTAAGTACTTAAGGAGAAAACTTAGGAAAGAACAAGTTTTCCTACAGCCAAGAATTAAGGTGAATGTATATTACATGTATAAAATATGTATAACATTCAATATTTGTTTTAAAATATTTATTTTTATAAGTTTAAAAGTTATTTGCAGTTGGATTTCAAATAAAATAGGTGCTTTATAAACTAGATGTTATGGATTTCAAATAAAATAGGTGCATTATAGACTAGATGTTATAGACTAGACTGTAACAACTATATGTTACAGTAGAAATTGAAAATGACTGAATTTTTAGGGACTTATAATTTCTTTGACTGTAATCAAGTTAATAACCACTCTGAGCTTTGCTTTACTTACTTGCAAAATAAAAATTAAAAGTTGTAGATGGTAGTCAATCAAATCTCCTATTTACTTTTGTAACATATATTTAGCAGATTTTGAATTGCATTTTAATTTATTTAAGATCCACAGTTACTGATTTAAGTGTTTAGCTGAATTACAGACAACATTTTGTAAGGTAATGATGCAAGTAAGATTGGCCAAGCCTTGGTATTTCACTGGTGAGTTATTGAATGTAGACTACATTCATTTTCCTTTTTACCATTAGTAAATTACATCCATTCACCTTTGATTAATATGCCTACTATATTTGGAGAGGCAGCTTTACAAACAATAGCAGGCAGATTTACCAAATCTGAGGCTAATGTCTAGCTCTTGAAACAAGTAACTGAGCAGAACTAATGATGTCATGTCTCATACTGACAAGTGAAATAACCTCCATTTAACTTCTGATGCCCCCATACCCATTAAGTTAAATTTTCATCTTTACTCATTATTGAAATTAAATGCAGTAGAGTACCCACCACAATAGAGATCTTACAGAACAGTGACAATAATAACAAAAACTACCCTGAAATTAAGAATACCATTTTCCACTCTGATATATCTCAGTAAATTTTATTTTATTAGGAAATCAGTTGTGAATAGTATAACATCCAGATTCTTGTGATATTGTAATATTATATATTTAAGTTACTGTACATAATATATATATATGTGTGTGTGTGTGTGTGTGTGTGTGTAATACTAGAGGCTCATTGCACCAATTTGTGTACATTGAAAGGAAATTAATTAGAAGAAATTTTTAGAGGCCAAGGAGGGACCACAGGAAGTTGGTTCCAGGGAGTGTCCTGAGCATCTCACCCAGTCCCCAATGGGACCGATCAGGCCCAGCCGGCCAGTGAGGGACAGCCCAAGGGCTCCAGGGCATGTCCAGCTCATCTCACCCAGTCCCAATAGGCTGTACCCCAGCAGCAAGCTAACCTACCAGTCAGAGGATTATGCTTAAATTGTTCCTTGAAATGAGATCAGCATGTCTACATTTTTTATTAGCACAATTTTTATAGTTGTAGGAATTTTAAAGAAATCTTATGGGGAAAAATAGACTTATTGTCTCATTTCTATTATTAAATGGCTTTAAAAAGACTATGAAGCAGCCCTATTATTAAATTTCAAATCAACCTAGTATCTGTAGCTTGATGAAATGCAACTTGAATTTCACTTTCCTATTATAATGTATACTGTACAATTTTCACAAAACCAAGGACATTTTTTGAAGTATAAAAATATCAGTGGTAGAAATACACATTATATTTTATAAGAAAGGAAAAAGGACCTTCAACTCTTTTTGCTTAAATTTTCTGTAAAATAAAATGTTCACCTACATTTTTATAGTTGTCTCTTAATACAAAAAAATCAGAAAGATTTTATTATACACACTTAAGGGCTTTTTATGTCACAAAATTAACTAATTTAAGGAGCAGGAAAAAATAGGTAAGTTTTTAAAATGATAGAAATATTACTGATCAGATTATTTTAGAATTTTATTTTTATTGCCTTTTTTTAATATCTGTTCTTCCTTAAAGGAAATTCATCAATTGAATTTAATTCTAACTAAATTCAAAGGAGTGCATCTGCTCTGGCCAAGAATGAACATGGTTCTTTAAGTGTATATCATTCTTCATTAACTAAACTGAGACCAGAAAGTGTACTTAGATCTGCCTACTATTTTTGTAGTATAATTAATGGCAAGTGAAATTCAAGGATGAAGGAGGCAAAATAGATAACTGTTTCAATACAGTGATAACTGATAGTTATCAAATAACAATTGCAAAATATTAAGACTTCCTAGAGCCTTGTATTGAGTTATAGAAGTACCTTACATATTTTGGAGATTAACTCCTCATGAGATATATGGTTTGCAAATGTTTTCTCTTGTTCTCCTGTTTTCTATGTTGCTTTTTTACATTATTGAATTTTTTTTTAATCCTCCCCCAAGGACATTTTTTTTCTTCACTAGAGAGAGAGAGAGAGAGAGAGAGAGAGAGAGAGAGAGAGAGAGAGAGAGAGAATATAGATGTGAGAGAGAAACATTGATCTGTTGCCTCCCATACATGCCTATACTGGTGATAAATCCCTTAACCTAGATATGTACCCTGACTGAGATTTAAACACTCAACCTTTTGGTGTACTAGTTGACACTCCAACCAACTGAGCTGCTTGGTCAGGGCCAACAGAAGCTTTTTAGTTAGATGTAGTCCCACTTGTTTATTTTGTTTTTGTTTCCAGTATTTTTAGTGAAATAATTTTATAGGCCAATATTATGAAATGTCCCTAAGTTTTTTTCTAGAAGTGTTATGATTTTAATTCTCATGTTGAAGTCTTTAATCCTTTTGAGTTGATTTGTGTGCATGAAGGGTCTAAATTCCATCTTTTCCATGTAAATAATCATAAGCTCTCCTTGTTCTTTTATTGAGTGTGTTTCAGGGAGGGATATGTGGATATCTTCTTCCCCTAGAGATAAGTATATTCCAGATTTCAATTTTTTTTTCTGGAGAATGTACTTAAACTTTTTATTCTTCAATTAAGAATAGTAATTCCCTACATAATCTAAAGACAAATTAGACAAATAATTCATCCTCAAAATATTTGTTTATTGGCAATTATTGAGCATCTACAACATGCACACATTTGAATATTCTCCTAATCTTTGAAATATATGAGAAGCATTAAAGCCTGTGTGTCTGAATGGCCACCAACACAGGAGAAGCAATCTGCACTGTGGATGCAGGGAGGCTAAGACTGAAGAGACTGTAATAATCCTGACATGAGCTGAGGACGGTTAGAATTAAAATAAAGATAGTTCACAGTGATAAGAGAGAATAAAATTTGGGGAGCAGAGTTGTTGAAACTGATCAGATAAAATGATGAGGGAAAGAAAACAACTGGTCTTGATGGCTTGAGAATTTTAGGCTGGAATATTTAAAGGAATGTGTTGTCTATACTTGTCACAGGAAACCAGGGAGGCAGGGCAGGTTGAAAGCCTTAGAACAAGTTAAGTTTAATAGCTGGCTGACATTCAGATATGTTCCTAAAGGCCATTAGGAATAGGATTATTTAGTAGGGTGAGCTCATGGCCTTTTAAGAAAGCTGTGATTCCTTTCCAGGAAGTAGAACAGATGCACTTACAAAATTTATATCTGGAACCCTTTTCTTAGGCCTGGGTTAAGGACCCCTAGGCAATTTTTTTTTAATTACACAGAAGTCTAATATTTTGTTATTTTAAGGTAAGCTGACTTCTACTTTATTGGTGACTTTTTTTTTTAAAAAAACGGCAACAGATTATCACTCCAGCAATCTATTAACTAATTGTTTAGTATTTACTTTATTGATGGGTTAGTTTGAGTTGTATTCAGCTTTTTTGTGACTTTGAGTTTCAAAGATATTTATTGTTAAGGAAGATATTACTGGTGCGTTTAGATTGAACTACTTTGGAAAAGTTATGGTGTTTACCTGAAGCTAATAAAATAATTTATGTTTTTCCCTGTAAATGAGACCTGAAAAGCAGTCAATGTGTCCATGCCAAAATTAACATGAAAAGGATCTACTATGAAATTAGGTTTCTCAAATAAAATGTAGTCCAATAAGAGGGCATTCACTCTGTCTTCTTTCTGATGGGGATACTTTTCATCAGAATGTATGGCATGTTTTAAGGCCATAAACTTAATATGGATGAAGCCTGATGGCTTTCAAGATCAAGGGATTGAGGTTCAATTTAAATGTATGGTTATTTGCTAAAAAAAGCACACACAAAATATCTTGCTGGAAAATAGATCAGGAGATATTTTGTGTATTCTTCTGTCACCTGAGGAAATTGCAAAAGCATGCATTAAAATTGTATAAGATTTAGTATATACAGGCAGAGACTACTTTAGACAGATTTTTTTTTTACAATACACTGATACTGTTCTGGCCTTGAACCAAAATGCTTCTTTTCTCTGTAAATTTCGGTGGAAAGATTCATTATTGTTGAATTTCAATATGATTGCTAATTAAATGATGCAAAACTCAATAAAATAAAATACACAAAAGACCAATTAGCATGTTATCTCAGTAAGTATACAGACGAATGAGAGAACATACTGTTCTACACAATAGTGTATAATTAAGATGTAGTCATAAATCAAGGATATATTATAACTTGTATAGGTGCACAGGTGGCTTTTAGAAAGATAAATTAGCTCATCTCGCCCCCTTGAGATGCGAGTTCATAGTGATTCCTGCAAAATTAAACAGAATAATGTCTTAGACTTCTGACATTATGTATGCTCCAGTGCAAACAGCAAGCTGTAGAGAAATGTTTGCAAAGTGCTCATCTCCTTGTCCATTCCTGTTCCAGATGCCCTCTATGATGTTATCACTGTGGGAGCCCCAGCTGCCCATTTTCAGGGATTTAAGAATGGAGGTCTTCGTAAACTACTCCACAGATTTGAAACTGAAAGAAGAAAGTAAGTGATGACAATATGCATTAATGGTTATCTTCCCTTTGGAAAAGTCTACATACATATTTATAATAAAGAAACTTGGTTCGTCACAATGCATAGTTCTTGTATCGCAACCTATTAATAACTTAAAGATGTTGAATTTTTAAAAAAAATACTTGAATAGAAATGAAATTAGGATAAATTAAATACCTGAATAGTGTTATGCAGGCAGAAAATTTTTGTGGGAACACAGCTATAAAAAAAAGAGTATTCTAGTATCAACTATTGCATATTCAGTGGAATGATGTTCAGGTAGAGATTTAGCTAAAAGCATTGTCTTATGTAATTGAAAAGCCAGACAGAGAGATCATGAGGCCTAATTTATGACTCTTACACTATTGGTGATTTCCACTGTGGTCCGAGGTAAGGCATATGAACTGCCTTGCCATTTAATTATGCATTTGAAAAGGAGACATCAGTACAGAACTCTTATGAGATTAAAAGAAAAAACATTCATTTCTTAGAGAAAAGGCATAACACAAAACCTAAAGTATTGTTTCTATTATTTATAACTAGAGGCCCAGTGCATGGATTGTGCACCAGGGGGGTCCCTTGGCCTGGTCTGTGGGGATCGGGCTGAAGCCAGCTCTTCAACTTCCCCTGAGGGGTCCCAGAATTTATTTTATAATATCATGTGACTATGACTGCACTTAAGTAAACCATAAAAAGTTTTATCCAGATGTGAATGGAAACTTTTCTTTTTAAGTAGTTACTCTTCTTAGATTAAGAACCCAAATTTTAAGCCGGGACCGGTTTGGCTCAATGGATAGAGCGTCGGCTTGGGGACTGAAAGGTCCCGGGTTCGATTCCGGTCAAAGGCATGTACCTTAGTTGCGGGCATATCCCCAGTAGGGGGTGTGCAAGAGGCAGCTGATCGATGACTCTCTCTCATCGATATTTCCAGCTCTCTATCTCTCTCCCTTCCTCTCTGTATAAAATCAATAAAATATATTAAAAAAAAAAAAAATCTCTCTTAGTCTTTAAAAAAAAAAAAAAAAAAAGAACCCGAATTTTAAAAGTTAGGGGGAAATAGTATTCGGTTGTCATAGTTGGTTTAGTAGTAATATTAGAAAATCTACTCAAATGGCAAAACCACCCTTTTTTAAAAAAGTTTTATAACATTTATAACATACATAACACATGAATTATTAGGTTTCCAAAATTATTAGGTTCAGGACAAAAGCATTAAAAATAACAGAATTGAATAACTGACATACTATTATATAAATACTAGAGTTTTAGTGCACAAATTTGTGCACAGATAGGGTCTGGCTGGCTCTGCCTCAATTGGGACTGGGCCTGTCAAAAGGAGGAGATGGTGGGAGGTTAGTCAGTTGACCCATCCCAATCGGAACCCAATCAGGGGCGGGATGGCTGGGGGCAAGGGCCATAGGTGATTGGCTAGGGGGCCCTACTCCCAATTGAGGTGGAGGGGGCTAATTTAGGGTGGGGCCAGCCATGGTGAGGGTTTGTGGGCAGTGGGCTGGCCTGACCCACCTCCAATTGGTGTGTAAGGGATAATCATCGGGGGTGGAGATGAATGGGGAGAGGGGCCGCAGGCCAATCTGGGTGGTGGGGACTGGTCAGGGGTTGGGCTGACCATGGGGGGAGGGGCTGTGGAGAATAGACTGGCTGACCTGAATAGGGTAGGAGGCACCGATTAGGCGCCAGTGGCCTGGGGAGAGGTCATGGATGCTTGGCTGGCCGGCCCTGCCCCTGATCTGAGTGGAGAGCCAATCAGGGAAGGAGCTGACTGGGGGGAGGGGCCATGGGCCTACTGGTGTGCTAGGGCCCCATCTGGGACAGGGCAGGCTGGGATCAGGGGCCACAGGCAGTTGGCTGGCCAGCCCTGCCCCTGATCAGGGTTTGGGGGGCTAATCTGGGGTGGGGCCAGTTGGGAAAGGGGCAGCAGGAGGTTGGCTGGCCAGCTTCACTCCCAGATCAGGCTAGTTCACTGACCACAGTGGGCATCATAATGATCAGTTGTTCTGGTGTTATGGTTGCTGACATATATATATATATGCTTATGAGGCACATATATATATATAAGCTTATGAGGCACATATATTTTTATTTCTTATTTTAAAGAAATTTACTTTGATATAATACTTGTACTATTAACTCAGCTATTGCCCTTAGTGAGTTTTTGCCAGGTTTTTTTTTGTTTGTTTGTTTGTTTGTTTTGTTTTTGTTTTGGGTGAAGAGAGTATATAGTTCTATGAAACTGTATCATAGGTATAGATTAATCATCACAAAAAACTGTTCCATAACCACAAAGACACTTGTTCTGCTTATCCCTTCTGCTGCAGAAAATAGTTCTGTTTCCTTATGATTGTAACAGGGAGGGGAAGTCAGAGTTCCAACCAGGGGCTCTGAGGGGAGAGGCACCTCCTGTATAATTCATGGGGGTAGGAAGTTGGTTCATTCACAGAATCTATGGGGAAAGGGATGCTATCTCTTTTCTAAAATGGGAATGGCAGTAGAATATAGGTTTCCGCCATGGTTTCTCATTGACCCTCTCCCTCTGCTGTACCAGCCTTCAAATAGGGAGAGACACTGCTATTATGTGCTATTCACTCCCAGAATAGGCAGGTGTATTTAAAAGTTTTATTTTTGTTGGGCTACCCTTTTACTAGGCCTTTGGTTTTTCTTGGCTTCTATTTCTATATCTCACTTGGCATTTTACAAGCACTAAGGGCTTGTTTAACACCCACTTTGGGATATATAGTAGTCAAGGGGAAAAAAAAAACCACATAGAATTCACTATCATTGTCATATAAGTCCCCAGATCCTGTGGGCTCCCAGCCAATCTTCCTTCTTTGCTCTTAGAGTCTTCTGATAAATGACTTACATGTTGTGACTAGAGTATGTTTTGTGATTAGCAGGAAAAGGAAAATTGATTGTGTGTACTCCATCTTGTCTGGAACTGGGCAGCACTACCTTGAGAATTCACTTAATTTATTTGTTTTTCTCAATTCAATTTTAAAGTGCCTGACACAATTAAAAAATGGAAAACTGCCCCCAGGGCATAAAGACTCTAGCTGAAAGAGTAGAGCATCAGTATGTGAAGCATGGAACCTCACCATAGAGTATCATATGATACTACTGTGTGCTACTGGCAAAGACAAATGTTGAGTTGTATGGTTAGATTCTGAATAATATATCTTGTTTTAAATATCCTCATGTATATCTGAATTCTTCAGTATTCTTCACTTCTCACTGGGATATTTATATACATACAAACACACATGCAGCTATAGGATTAAACTTAAAATAAAAGATATTAGAATATCCAATACATTAAACATTGACTTGCTTTAGGGTTTTTAAATATGTGTTATATATCCTATTCCTTTATGGGTAACTTTATTGATAAATACAGTGAAAATTTTTAAAAAGTGAAAAAATAACCTGGTGTATATCTTAAAAGTACCCTGTTTAGGGCAGTAGTAAGGGACAAATGTGGTTTGTTAAGGCAATACATAAATAAGTACAATATCAGCCTGACCATCATGGTAAAAGCTGACCTGAGCAAACATGTTATGCCTAAAGTGATAACACACTATGAAAATTATTTTTCTGAGGGTTTTTTCACACAATATTGCATCTGTTCATCAAAAGCAATAATGGAGACATCAATATGACTATGAAATCAGTAACTTAGACCTATACATGTAGAAGTGAAGAAAATCATGTTAAGTGAAGGACATTTTCTTTACCTCATTTTCCTTTTGCTACTTCCCCACCCCCGCCAAAAAAAATAGCTAAGTCTTTTGGGCCAGTTTTTAAAGGGTACTACTACAGCTATTATATGTCTTCACCTTTTTCTATTTTCTTCTTCACTAAGCCAATAAAATATTGTCTCCTGAGCACAGTAAATTTACATGTTTGGTCCTTATTGATCTATTGTTTGATGAATTCATTGACCAGATAATGAAAAGGATTTTAGCATTAGGAAGCCTTACTTTCTTGTAGTAATTATATAATGTAATTCAGATCATATAAAATGTATTTTTAAAAGCTTAAAGATAATTAATTAGGCAGATTGATTTTTTTTTAAAGAACAAATATAAAAGTTCATACTCTCCAGCTCAGAACCCTTCACATCCCTTCATGGAGTCCAGTCAGATCCACTGGCCATTCAAAGCCTCTGTGAACCCACCCCACTGGCTTCCTACCTTCATCACTCTCCTCTCCCTAAAATTGCGTCTTTTAAATGCTATGAAACCATAGACTTCACACTTGCCCACCTATTCCCTTACCCACATTCTGTTCTCTTTCACTAGAAATTCTTCTGTTCTCATCTCCACACTATTTACATTGCTTTCTGTCCAAATCATACACTTAATTAATCCTTTCAAAATTCTACACATGGTCCGATCCTAAGATTTTTACCCTTTTCATTATGTCCTCCTGATTTCTCAAGTTGATTTGACTCTCTGTCCTAATATTTTAATTCTCTTACAGCCTTACTAGTTCACAGTTATGGCATATTAGGTTTGCCCTTGTTTGATATTTCCTGTAACACTGGGATATGTTTAGGTAAGAGATGATGTTCTCTTGAATTATGGGTCTTCTGGAATGCTCTGCAGAGTACTTAGCAGGCAAGCATTCCATAGACCAAATGAAATGGACATTGGGATTCACCTTATAAATGAGATATAGTTTCTGATTTAAGAGCTGAAAACTCCAACCCTGGCCAGTTTTGCTCAGTAGTTAGAACATAGGCCCTCTGATCAAAGTTCTCAGGTTCGATTCCCAGTCAAAGGTATGTACCTTGGTTATAGGTTAGAACCCCTGTCCCATTTTGGGCACGAGTGAGAGTCAACTAGTCAGTGTTACTCTCCCATCAATGTTTCTCTCTCCTTTCTCCCCACCCCGCTTGCCTCCCTTCTACTCTCTCTAAAAACTATCATCACTTCCCCAGAGAGGATTAAAAAAATAAAATGCTGAAAACTCCAGTG